CGAATTGGTACAGACAGTCAAGGCCATCAAGTGCTTACTTTATGCAGATGATCTTGTTCTATGGTGTTCCGCCCCTAAGAAAAACGCCCAGGAGAGGACAGAAAGTGCTCTTAATAGTGCACTCAAACTACTAGCAAACTGGTGCGACAACAATGGAATAGTAATCAACACCGCAAAAACTGCATTCCAAACTTTTTCTTTGGCCCATCACAGCATAAACCCGCTTCTACGGTACAAGGATACTACCACAGAAAAAACCAATGAGTTCATTTATCTCGGAATGACGTTTGACACCAAGCTAACGTGGAAAAGTCACATTGCTAAATAGCAGAACGAGTCTCCAATAGACTGAATGTCCTGAAGCGTCTTGCTGGTAGCGTATGGGGCTATGCACGCTCAACTCTCAACACCACTTACAAGATGTTTATTCAGTCAATAATCTTGTATTTCTGTGAGCCACTCATTGCAGCCACAGAGGTGACACTCAAACCACTCGAGAAGGCACACAACCAAGCATTACGACTAATTACTGGAGGGATAAAATCATTACTCATTGATGCAATGCTCTTAGTTACAGGAAGCACCACAATATGTTCCCTTATCAAGGAAAAGTCCTTGATCCTGTGTGAGAAGCTACTGCGCATTCCCATGGATAAGTTCTTCAGCACCTATGAGAATAGACCAAGACACCTGTAAACGCAATCTGGTTTAATACAGAAAGCCATAGAACTGAAGAAAGAATTACAAATCGATGACAAAACAAATAGCCTCCCTTTATCCATGAACCCATTAGCAGACACCGATTTAGTGTGTTGCACCCAACTGCTTGACCTCTTCAGAAAATCAAACTCCCCTCCAGAACAAATGCACTCACTGACCCTTGAGAAAATCAATGTCAACTATCCTGGAGACCAATGGCTCCAAGTCTTCACTGATGGGTCATACAAGTCTTCACTGATGGGTCATACATGGAAAGGCTCACTGGTACTTGAGACAATCAATGTCAACTATCCTGGTCATTCCAAGTCTTCACTGATGGGTCATACATAGAAAACCAAGCAAACGTTGGTGTAGGTGTCTTTTCTGAACTCTTCTCTTTCTACGCAGCAGCAGGATAATATAGATACGCTTTTGAAGGAGAAATAGAGACCATTAGGATAGCACTATGTCAATTATGTTGCCTGGATACGAAATTCACCAAAGCGGTGATACTTTCGGACTCACAGTCAGCAATAAACTCAATCGGAAACAGAGAGCCACCCAAAACAGCTGAGATAAAGGAATGTAGAAAACTCTATGAGCTGTTGAGAGAGAAAAACAAAATAGTGGTTCTACAATGGATTCCTGGTCACTGTGGCATTGAAGGCGATGAGCTCGCTGACACACTTGCTAAGAAGGGGATAACGATTTTGCAATGCATGGACCGGCTGATGTATTTCCACACAATGAAGGCCTAAATCAGAAGGCAATTCGTGCAACGAACTCAAAGCTCGAACAAAGGAGAAACAGTGGATAGTGGCACTCGAGCTCGTACAAAGGAGAAACAGTGGACAGTGGCACTCTCCCGATCAGAAGAGAATTCAAGATCTCAAGGTGCAACGAACTTAAACAACAAAAGAGAAACAGTGGACAGTGGCACTCTCCGACATAGCCGACTAGCCAAGAATCAGAAACAGTGGACAGTGGCACTCTTCGATATAGCTAGGAGAAATAGTGGACAGTGGCACTCTCCGACATACCCGGCTGGGCCAAGAATCAGAAACAGTGGACAGTGGCACTCTTCGATATAGCAAAGGAGAAACAGTGGACAGTGGCACTCTCCGATATAGCCCCAAGGAGAAACAGTGGACAGTGGCACTCTCCGACATAGAGGAGAAATAGTGGACAGTGGCACTCTCCGACATACCCGGCTTTCCAGACCTCAAGGTTCAACGAACTCAAAGCTCGAACAACAGAGAAACAGTGGACAGTGGCACTCTCCGACATAGCCGACTAGCCAAGAATCAGAAACAGTGGACAGTGGCACTCTTCGATATAGCTAGGAGAAATAGTGGACAGTGGCACTCTCCGACATACCCGGCTGGCGAGAATCGAAGCCGTTGCTGAGTTTAGACTACGTATCGGACAGTCCACACAATGAAGGCCTTAATCAGGAGAGAATTCATGTTACCAACGAACTCAAAGCTCGAACAAAGGAGAAACAGTGGACAGTGGAAACAAAGGGGAAACAGTGGACAGTGGCACTCTCCGATTAGTGACTGGCCAAGAATCGAAGCCGTTGCTGAGTTTAGGACGTACCGGACACGATTGCTTGGCAAAACACCTTCACAGAGGGGAGTATACACTCAACCCACATGCCCTCTATGTAACCTAAACTAAACCCACATGCCCTCTATGTAACCTACAGGAGGAAACGGCTCAGCCCCCTTTCACAGACTGGGAGTATACACTCAACCCACATGCCCTCTGGATTGGGAGTATACACTCAACCCACATGCCCCCTATGTAGCCTTCCGATTGCTTGGCAAAACACCTTCACAGATTGGGAGTATACGAGCCGTTGCTGAGTTTAGACTACGTACTGGACAACCGTTGATGAGTTTAGACTACGTACCGAACACGATTGCCTATCAAAACACCTTCACAGATTGGGAGTATACACTCAACTCACATGTACACCTTCACAGATTGGGAGTATACACTCAACCCACATGGACCTTCACAGATTGGGAGTATACACTCAACCCACATGCCCCCTTCACAGATTGGGAGTATACACTCAACCCATATGCCCTTTCACAGACTGGGAGTATACACTCAACCCACATGCCCTCTGGATTGGGAGTATACACTCAACCCACATGCCCCCTATGTAGCCTTGGGAGTATACACTCAACCCACATGCCCCCTATGTAACCTTCAAGAGGAAATGGAGAAGACCCACCTGATTCGGTGTCCCACAGGAGGAAATGGAGAAGACCCACCTAATTCGATGTAACCTACATGAGGAAATGGAGAAGACCCACCTGATTCGGTTTCCAGCCCTAAAGACAACGACGGAAAGCCAGAGATACTGGTAAGCGAGAAGACAGCTAATGAATTGCTTTTTATTATCAGCTATATATGTAAGAAGACTGAACTGCTATTAATTAACTTCTATAAATGTAACCCCCCACTCTGGGGGAAGCTGAAGTCAAAGATTAAGGGCTAATGGTAATGAATTGCTATTAATTAACTGCTATAAATGTACCAGAATTGCTATTAATTAACTGCTATAAATGTACCCCCTCCATGAATTGTATGTACCCCACCCCCTCTTGGGGGAAGCTGAAGTCAAAGTTTAAGGGCTAATGATAGAATGAACTGCTATTAATTAACTGCTATATATGCACCCCCCACCCCTGGGTGTAATGAATTGCTTTTTATTATCAGCTATATATGTAACCCCACCCTTGGGGGAAGCTGAAGTCAAAGTTTAAGGGCTAATGATAAATATCATAAAGCCTGCCACTTGAAATAAATGAATTAATTTTTGATATGATAACAACACTATTCAATGACTTGCCACATTTGGCTCATTAGGGGAATTTCAACAGATTTAACATTGTCATTTGTCCAAATAGACTGTCATAAGTATGCCCTTTGATCATTGATAATTATGTCTATAGAACTTTCACTTCAAAGATTAAATATCTTATTTCATGCAGAAAATAATCGTGAAACCAAATTTTGTAAATAAAGTACAATTTGCATTGAGCATTTTGAATCATGAGATCGTTTAAAGAGCAGTCAAATTTCATATTGTTTACGGTTAATGTAAAATTTTTTCTTTTAAAATTATTTGCGGTTTTTGGTTTATATTTTCTTGTTGAAAAGATTCGGGAAAAAAAACAAGCAATTAAGAAAAGGCAAAATATTGAAGAATGATACTTGTCTTAAAAAATATTTTTTGCATAGTAAATGTGGTGTAGAAATAAAATATTTGGTAGTTAATTAAAATTTGCCATTAAAATCGTTGCATCCTCTTCAATGGCAACTTTAAATGATATTTGTGAAAGAGGGGTGTGCGATAGACTTACCTCCATGCGGTGCACCCTGGGCAACGTATACTCATACGGCTAAAAAGTCTATTAACTGGCAGTTGACTTCTCACTTCAAACTACCATCACCTCACTGTATGTCATATTCCGCAACTTTCACAGTACTCACCTCACCATTTTTTCTAGTTTTATCTCTGTCTCTTCATTTTTGAAATACTCTTCTTTTTTTTCCCCCCCCCCCCCCCCTCAACTTTTTTTCCATTTTGATATTCCTCCCCTCTGTGAAGCCTGTAGTCAACTAAAGGGCTAATGATAACTATCAAAACGTCTGCCATTTGATACAATACATTGTGAAAGATTAGGGCATAGGAGAGATGCCCGCTTTTTTATTAAATAGCCTCTAAAATTGCGTATAATCACCATATGTCATACATGGTTTATAATTATGTTTTTGGGCATATTATAAAATCATGGGAAATATTAGCACAGAAGAATGCAATCATTAAATCTCACGAATTCTTATTTTTCAAGTAAATGGGCGAAGATTGTCAGAAGACTAATTACGCATCTGGTGAAGATTGTGTAAATCTTGATTATGAAAATGCATCTATTCTGTTTTTTGTCGTTTCAAGTTATTGTGCTTATTAATTATGCTAACTTTTTAAAAGTCACCTTTTTAGAAAAATACTTAATTATATGAGCTTCGTTTAATTAATCTAGCAGTACTTATAGTTAGTTCTGATGTTCATTTTGATTTATAGAGTAGTCTCTGTTGTAATAAGCCTTTAACTCTTCATTATTCTTAACGACCAAGTTAGAGCACTTTCTATTTAAATACCAAAACCTCTCACAGTGTGAAATTTGGTAACAATTCGGAATTTTGATCCAAAATTCTATTTAATTTGTTAAATACAGCTGCTGTTATTAAGGCCCTTCTATTTGCTTGAAAAGACTACTCACAGATAATTAAGATTAGCTTTTCAATGGGTTTGAGTTGGGAGTTCGAACCTTTTTGATTAAACTTGATTTTTCTTGTCATTTATCTAATGGTAATGAATAACGGTAATTAAGAGATAAAATTCCACTATATAAAGAAATAATATATGTTTTTTAATATAAAATTTTGTGGTGAAGCTCATAATGCCAATGGTAATAATTTCTATTAATATAAAGCTTAGGTTTCTTTTGAATAACCAAAAATGTCGTCAGATTTAACTTTGATAATAATCCAAAAGCAACTTGTTATATCTTTTATGTTATGAAATATAAGTTAATAATATTATTTTGCAATTAACACAATCAATTATTGATTTCAAGAAATTAAATAAATTTTCTATTTGCATTATATGAAAATTTGCATTGCAACATTAGGAAACTACTCAGACATTTGCAGAGATAAAATTTCCTCTGAAATGCATTTCCAGAATTTATTTAAATTTGCTATAACACTTTGAAATAATTTACTCGAGTCAGTCATGAATAAACCCTGTTAATAATTCTCTGATTTGGTCAGAATTTACTCCCTCAACCACTTTCAGGATATGAAGTGAAATGAGGCAGCGAGATCAACCGTTGTACTCAAAATATACTCAAATATGTAGAGGATGCCATAATTCGGTAAATGAGTTATTAAGTTGGAACTAGGAGACTCGAAGTGGTGAACTGAACACAAAGTACTCCAACGTAAAGCAAATAGGAATAATTTTTGACATTATCTTGAAGTTCCCCTCTCGACATATCCTAATAAAATTTTTCCAGATTTCAGTTTTTTTTGCGTAAAATAAGATTTAACCCCCCTCACATATATATATATATATATTTGATCAAGTTGCACCTACGCTGAACAAATTTGGCTTTAACTAATTTGCCCATTAGTATTCCGGCGGTCAACGAGTTAATTTCACTGATATTTCTAAACTTGACAATACTAATCCATTTGATTTAAGCATGGTGTAGAGGGATACAATATTCAATTTAAATTTTGAAATCGGTAAACATTGACGAACTGCAACAAATTATAATGATCAATCGAGAATAAAAAATATTTTGATAAAATTTGGGATGCGTTTGCTAGCATTGCTTTACTGCATATCATTCGATGACCCATAATTATTTTAATATGAATAAACATTTTTTCACTATTTTTAATCATAATCAATTAATAAAATTCCAAACCGAAATTAACCTTTACACGCTATAAATTAGTAGTTCAATTTTTCAACAACAAATATTAAGGAATTTGTCAAAATTTTTAATAAAGGTCCTTAAAAGAGCAGTTTTATTACCCATTTTTTCAAATATATTTGAATTGTTATAATTAATCTTAAACGTAATTAATACCTGTGTACCATAATTGCAGCAACGAAAGTTCTTTTTTGAAAGATTATAATGAATATGTATTTATTTCAAATGGCAGGCGTTTTGATAGTTATCATTAGCCTTTTAGCTGACCTCAGACTTCACAGGGGGAAGGAACATCGAAGTAGCAGAAAGTCGGGAGGTGGGGAACAGAAGACTGATTTAGAGATGTAAAAGAGACCTACACATAGGCAGAGAAAAGGTAGGATGAGTACTGCGGAAGTGGTAGAATATGGCATACAGTTGGGTGATGATAGTTTGAATTCAGAAGTTAACTGCCAGTTAAAAGATTTTTTGCCTTATGAGTATACTTTGCCCAGGGTGCAACACGTGGAGGTAAGTCTATCGCACACCCCTTATAATGAATATTAATCTGAAGATCAAACCGGACAAATTAGGTTCTTTGACTAAACTGTTACTTTTCGACCATAATTTTTGTTTATTAAACTTCATGCTGTAAACCGTGATTAACTGCAAAAATATTGGATAATTTACTTATAATTTAGTAGGTTGTCTTGTTATCCATGGGTCCAAAACACTTCAAGTAGCGTTTGAAATTTTACGATTTTCAGTTAACGTTTGTTGGCTTTTAGCAATACTTGAAATCATTCATTTTAATAATTAATAGAACACAACTAACGTATATTGCTGCTGTCCGTTGGCTTTCAGAAAGGAAAACTTTACTCATTGGTTTTGTAAATAAAACGGGTAAATTATGGTCAAATATTTTAATTTAACTGAATATTCAAATACTCCAAATGAGAAGAAATTACGGCCTTAATCTATTTATGAATATTTTTTCGTTACCAAGAGACCGCAATGAAATTATATCCAAGTGGTGGACCCTGGACAATGTATACTCACACTAAAAAATAATCCATAAACTGGCAGAGGATTGATCACTTCAAATTACCTAGACCCGACTACATGTCACAGTACTCACCTTACCACTTTCTTCCCCTTTATGTCTGTCTCTTTTACATCTGTGAATAACGTCTTTGTTTCCCCTCTCAACCTTTTGTGACTTCATTGCTCCCTACCTCTGTTAAGTCTGAAGTCAACTTAAGGACTAAGTATAATTATTATAACGTTTGTCATTTGAAGTAAATAAATAAATGTTTCTTTATCAGCTCTAATCAACAGTCAACTTTTGACAGCAGTTACATCGCATGGAATAAAATATTCACTGAGGAATTCTTCACGTGATTCGTTACTCCTTTTGGTTTTAAAATAAGTCAGGTGGTTAAATCTTTAATGCTTTTTATTATTTAAAAATCAGGAGTAAAATTTACATGTGGCCTTATGTATATTATATGGCCTTTGAGATTAATAAATTTTGTTATATATTTTATGGATTGCCATTATCGAATGTTGATGAAAGAGATATTTCTTCAAAATTTTATTTCTATCACACTGACCAATATTAATTTTGTTTTGATCAAGAAAGGCGAATTACTTTTTAAATGACAAAAGTGGAAGAATATGTCACTAGATAAAAAATATTCCCATCGTTGAAGCACAAAAGTCTATATTTTCTTTAGAAAAATAGTATCTGTACGATCAAACAAGAAGCATAAAATTTTCATTTTTATACTTTCAT